ATAATGGAGCAGCAGTGGCCTCTCATGACAGCCTGTAATTACCTAACACTGACAGCCCCAACTCTGAGAAGTGCTTGATGTTCCCTGACGCCTGCGCTCTCAAAGGGAACCCGTCCTCTCTGATGTGCTGCGGAGGCCTGGCAGGGCTGTAATTACTGCAGGGCGCGCTCGTGGCTCAGCTCTGCTCTCTCTGACTTGCAGATCTTGGAGTTCTTTAGAAACCATCTATTTTTCATGCCCCCTCGAGTTCCATTGTGTCTCTGTCCACCCATCCCTCTCTCCGGCCACCAGTCAAACTCCTAGGGTGCATCTAGACTGGCAAGATTTTGCGCAAAAACTTGCCAGCTGTCTACACTGGCCGCTTGAATTTGCACAAGAGCACTGACTTTGTAATGTACAAAATCAGTGCTTCTTGTGCAAATACTTTCACGCTCCCGCTCGGGGAAAAAGCCCTCTAGGGCCAGTGTAGACAGGGAAGACCTGTTTTGAGCAAAAAAGCCCCGATGGCTAAAATGGTGATCGGGACTTTCTTGTGCAAAATCGCATCTAGACTGGCCACAGATGCTTTTATGCAAAAGCACTTTTTGCGCAAAAGCATCCATGCCAATCTAGACGCGCTTTTGCGGAAATAGTTTTAACAAAAAACTTTTCCATTAAAAGTATTTCTGCAAAATCATGCCAGTCTAGATGCAGCCCTAGAGTTCATTTTCTCTCCCAGATCTTTGCAAAAAGTAATAGACTGGGAATTGGTGCAGAAATGCAGCCTCCTCTGGGGTGGAGCACAACAGCTTTATGGCTGTGTATAACAGCATCACACAGCTGTAGGACATGAAGGAGAATCCTGTATCTCCTTACATTTGCAGCTGGAATGTGGGGATAATTGCAACTTGGGCAGGACACTTTTGTGGTTATCAGCCCTCAGGGGATCCGTGAGAGCACCATGTGATGGGAAGGATCTGTGGTGAATCCCTTACTCCCACTGGGGCTAATCAGCTGGCTAAGCTTATTTATTTTGCCCTCTTTTCCCACCTCCCCTACACTCTGCACACTAGTCCTCCCCCTGCCCTTGCCTGGAGCTATGTCTACACTATGGGGATTTTCCGGAGGTATCCTGGAAAAGCTCCACGGCATCCAGGGAGCGCATCTGCTCTTTTGCTTTATTATGCAGCAGAACAGACACGCTCTTTCGGAAGCCCGGTCTTCCTCCTCCCACAAGGAAGAAGGGCTCAGCATTTCCGAAATTTGGCCCGGTGTAGATGGGCCAAATTTCAGAAAAGCCTCTTCTGGAAAAAACGATCGGAAAAAGGCACACAACTTGCGGAGCGCAATGTGTGTACCTTTTCCCGATAGATCAATGTAAGTCTAGACATAGCCTGGAGCTGCTTCTCACATTCCATCCCTGAGCAGCTGCCCACGCACCGTGCAAACAGCCCGCACCCCCAGGTCATGCTGGCTGGCAGCATTCAGCCTTATGCCACGGCACGGTGACCGTGTGGCCTAAGGGAGGCTGCAGGGCTAGAAACAGCCACTTTGGGGGCTGGAACTCACTGAGTTTCCATGCTGGTTGAGCCCAGCCGAGGTATGTCAGAGCCCAGCACTGGGACGGCAGGTGGCATCAGGTCAGGATTGAGGGAGATGAAAGCCGGAGCTGTCAGCCTCTCCTCGGTGCGGAGTCTGCAGGCTGGGCGAGGAGTCTCTTTTCAGGAACAATTGCAGGTGGTGGTGGCGGCCTGTTTCATGGCAGCCTGCAGTATAAATGCGATTGCCCCACAAAGGGTCTGTTCCTTTCCTAGAGCCCCCTCAAGCCTCTGTCTCCGACACCCTGGGGGCTGGCCTGTTCCCTTCCCAGGGCCAGCTCTGTACCAGGCTCCCTCGTTGGGCCTCCCTGGATGGGTCTGGCCAGCCACTCCCAGGCCACTGTCTCCTGTCTCCAGACTGCCCCTCCTGGGTGTATTTCCCATAGCCCACCATAGGGATCCTGTGCTCTGAATGCTTAATGGGCATTTGCATGAGTCCGGGAAGTATTTGCATGAATCTTGTTTCCCTCAGCGCCACATCACGTCAGCCTGCCTCTCCCTGGACCCTGGAAGGAAGGGGATTAGCCTCTTCCCCCTGCGCCAGGGTTTGGTGGGGGCCCAGGGTGCAGAGGAGAGCTAGACTGGCTTCTGCAATGGGGGAGGTCTAGTTGGATATTAGGAAAAACTTTCCCTAGGAGGGTGGGGAAGCACTGGGATGGGTTCCCTAGGGAGGGGGTGGAATCTCGACCCCTGGAAGTTTTTAAGTCTTGGCTTGACAAAGCCCTGGCTGGGATGATTGAGTTGGGGTTGGTCCTGCCTTGGACAGGGGGCTGGACTCAATGACTTCTGGGCTGTGTCTAGACTGGCCAGTTTTTCTGGAAAATCAGCTGCTTTTCCAGAAAAACTTGCCAGCTGTCTACACTGGCCACTTGAATTTCCACAAAAGCACTGACTTCCTACTGTAAGAAATCAGTGCTTCTTGCGGAAATACTATGCTGCTCCTGTTCGGGCAAAAGTCCCTTTTGCGAAAAACTTTTGTGCAAAAGGGCCAGTGTAGACAGCTCAGATTTGTTTTGCGCAAAAGCACGTCTAGATTGGAATGGACGCTTTTCCGCAAAAAGTGCTTTTGTGGAAAAGCGTATGTCCCAATCTAGATGCTCTTTTCCGAAAATGCTTTTAACGGAAAAGTTGTCCGTTAAAAGCATTTCCAGAAAATCATTCCAGTCTAGACGTAGCCCTGAGGTCTCTTCCAGCCCTGGGATTCTAAGTTTCAATTTTGGGATACCGGCAGTATCCCAAAATTGCAATTCAGTGTCTTTACATGCGCCCATTATTTCAAAATAACGGGCGTGCTAGTCAGGTATCCCTGTAGCCCGTTCCACACGGGCTACGGGATCTGTAGCCCGTTCCACACGGGCTACGGGATATGTTGAAATAGCGCTTTACTTTGAAATTTGGCGAAATAGCGCTTTACTTTGAAATTTGGCGAAATAGCGCTTTACTTTGAAATTTGGCGAAATAGCGCTTTACTTTGAAATTTGGCGAAATAGCGCTTTACTTTGAAATTTGGCGAAATAGCGCTTTACTTTGAAATTTGGCGAAATAGCGCTTTACTTTGAAATTTGGCGAAATAGCGCTTTACTTTGAAATTTGGCGTGGTGTACGCAGTGCCAAATTCTGAAATAAGCTATTTCGAAATAACCTTGAACTAAGCTGCTGCTGCGTCGCTTCGTTCGAGGTCTGGGGTCTGGGCGCTGTGTAGATGCACCCTTAGAGACTGGAAAAGTCCATGCAGGGCTCCATGCTCCCTCCACTCCCCACACAGCCCTGACCAGGCCGTTCCTTCAGTGACTGGCAGGGGAACCCAGACCAGCCCCCCTCGCCACAGTGGCTGCTCGCTCCCAGTATATTGTGCCTCCCCAGACCCCTGCCTCGTGCGCAGCCCAGTCTCCTGCCCTGGGTTTGCCCCTGCAGGCATGGCTGGCCCCCATCTGAGGCCTTTCAGTCCCTGCCTCTGGCAGCATGTGGATTTACCAGCCCCTGCTCACCCCTGCCACCACTCCACTCCCAGGTGCATTCAGCACCCAGGCTGCTCTGGTGCCGAGTGCTGGAGACCTGGAGACCTGGGGCCCTGCGCAGGAGTACAAGGCCGCCCAGCCTGCCTGAACTGGCAAGCCAGAGGGCACCACAGTGTCGGACTGTGTCCAGCAGTCCCCAAAGAAATCCCTTTGGTCATCATTCTGAGACACATCCTGTGGGGTCAACACCACAGGGGCCCTGCACCAGCTGGCAGAGGCCACAGCAGCCCAGCCATCTGCCCCACACCATGACCACTATGTGTTCAGAAGGGGCCTGCGTCTGCCGGTCACACACCACACATCTGCCCCATGGGTCTGGGGTCAGCACTTCACCCTCCATGGGCAGGCAAGTGATGTGCCTGTCTGGTCACTCCTAGAGTTGCCAAGGGGGACTGGGATCTGGCCCACTGCTCCCCAAATGAATGCCCTATCCACAAGGCCGCCCTACCTACCTCCCGGGCATCCCTTATCCTGCCTTCCTAATGCAGGAGCCAGCACCACCCCTGGGACAACAGGTGTTGGTTAGCCTGCTGCTGCCTGTGGAGGGGCTGGAGCTAAACGCACCACTCGGTGCTCCCTGGGGGAAATGCCCTACCCACTAGGCCACTCCACCTCCTGAGGTTTCCTTATGCTCCCTTCCTAAGGCTGGAGCCAGCTCCATCCCTGGGGAGGCTGACATTGGCTGTCTGGCTGCTCCAAGGGTGGGGGGGACTCAAACCCATCACCCTGTGCTCCCCTGGCCAATGCCCTATCCCCTAGGCCACCCCTCCCCTCTTCAGGGCATCCCGTATCCTGCCTTCCTAATGCCAGAGCCTCCTCCAGCCCTGTGGCAACTGGTGTTGTCCCCCCCAGCCGCTGCCGGGGTGGGATCGAGCCTCCAGGTCTATCCGTCCCCGCCGTGTCGGGGGGCTCGGCCCTGGGGCAGCGCGGGGTCAGAGTTCAGGGGGGCTGGGGCTCTGGTGGCACCGGGCCCCCAGCCACAAGCAGCCAGGGGACATGGCCACTCCATGGGAAGGACTCAGGAGCTCACCTCTTCCCCACACCGCCCCCCTTCCTCCTGCCCCTGTTGCCATGGAGAGCGGCTGAGGCCTGCAGCTCCTGACCTGCCAAGGCTGTTTCCCAGGAGCGGGAGGCGGCAGGGCCAGGCCAGGGGGCTCTGGTGGCACCGGGCCCCCAGCCACAAGCAGCCAGGGGACATGGCCACTCCATGGGAAGGACTCAGGAGCTCACCTCTTCCCCACACCGCCCCCCTTCCTCCTGCCCCTGTTGCCATGGAGAGCGGCTGAGGCCTGCAGCTCCTGACCTGCCAAGGCTGTTTCCCAGGAGCGGGAGGCGGCAGGGCCAGGCCAGCCCG